AAGGGAGTTTAAACCTCCATCATGATTGTCACAACATGAATGTAAAGACTTAACACAAGTACATAAAAAACTTCAACTACAAGGGGAGTCTAAGCCTCCATCATGGTTGATACAAATGCAAAATGAAAACATAAACAATAAATGTACAAGAACTAGCTCTCTACCCTATTTTTCAAGAAAAAATGATTCTCTCTTTTTTTTTTCCACCCCTTTGAAGCTCCCACAATGGGGCTATTTATAGGCAAGGAAGAGGAGGGGGTGAAAGAATAGTGTTTGCTGCCCAAGTCCAAGTGAAAATCCAACAACTCTGCAGCCAATCAGTAAGGGACGTTCGAACGTGATTTGTCGTTCGGACGTTGTGTCTGTTTTTACTTTAAGAGTGTTCGAACGTGTTCTGTCGTTCAAACGTTGTGTCTATTTTTGCTTTAAGGGCTTTCAAACGCCAGATGGGGTCTGAAACCCCCTACTCAAGTGGCCTGTAGTCTCTGTGATGGTTACTTCCATATGTCTTGAACAACTCTGTCCCTACACTCAGCAACTTGGTCCTCAGTAACTCATGACAACGTTTAAACGTGGAGTGGCGTTCAAACGTTGTACACAAGTACTTATGTGGTCCTGCTTTCTTTGCTGCAACACTCCAGAAGGTCTCAGTAGTCTTCTCAGGTTTCTAGAACATGTTCGAACATGAGTGGGCATTCGAACGTGGTACTCAAGTATCTCAGCATTGTCCCTTTTTTACTACAACACATTATGTCTCAATAGCTTGGTCCTCAATCACTTCAGGGGAACGTTCGAACGTTGATCCACTTTAAAACGTTCTTGCTTTGTGCCAAGCTATTTCAATTTTGCCCCTTTATCCACTAGTGTTACATCCAAGTGTGGTATTTGTTGTCCTTGAGCTCTTGTTCACTTTAGGACCTGAAATGTCATTACTTAAACTCCATCAAAGAACAATTACTCCCAAAAAGGCATAGTAAAATGCTAACTTTAAGCACTAATCAGCATGTTGATTTGGTTATACCCAGAATATGCATCTAGGAAGGTGAGCAATTTATGTCCTGCGGTAGCGTCAATGAGGAGGTCAATTCATGGTAGTATGTAGCTATCTTTTGGGCACGCCTTGTTGAGCTCTGTAAAGTTGACGCAAAGGTGCCACTTTCCATTGGCTTTAGTCACCATCACTACATTTGAAAGCCGCTCAGGGTATGCTGCTTCTTTGACCGCCCCATTTTATATTAGTTTGCCCACCTCCTTGTCCATCACTTGGGCCCTTTAAGTAAAGGCACCTCTTAGCTTTTGGCAAACAGGTTTGCAATGTGGGTCAAAATTGAGGCGATGGGTGGCAACCTCAGGGTCGATGCCCTCAAGGTCCTCATGTGACCAAGCAAAAATGTCCATGTTGAGCCTCAAAAAGTCTATTAGCTGGCGAACCAAATTTTTTGAAAAGGAAGAGCCAACGTATACTCTTATATCTGGATACTCCTCATCTAGAACCACCTGTCGAGCTCCTCTACTAGTTCTCCTCTTTCCAACTTGGCATCGTCGCTTGGGTGAAGAACCTCCACTTGCGATGCCTCTTGTGGCTTTCTGGTCTTCATAGAGGAGACATAGCATTCTCTTGCAGCTACCTGGTCTCCTCGAACCTCTCTGACTCCGTTCGAGGTTGAAAAATAGAGGATAAGATGGTAGGTGGATGGCACAACTCTCAAGGTATTGAGAGCTGGTCGCCCTAGGATTATGTTGTAGGTTGAAAGGAAGTCTATCACCTGGAAGTTAACCATGACTGTGGAACTTCGGAGGGCTGCGCCTATAGTGACTGGTAAAGTGATGGACCCAAGGGGATAAACCTTCTCCCTTAAGAACTCAATAAGGCACGACCTAATGGGCTACAATCTTTCTCTACCAAGTTGAGCTTGTCATAAGCCTCTACGAACAAGATATCCGTAGAGTTGCTGTTGTCCACAAGAAATCTTTGCACCTAGAAGTTGGCAACGGTTATGGTGAGCACCAGAGGGTCGTCATGGGGGTGCTGAATTCCTTTCAAATTCTTGTTTGAGAAGGATATCACCTCGTTGTTTCCATGCTTGGGCGTCTTGGATGGTTGTAAATCGTTAATGTGCCTCGTTTTTCCAGCGCGAGCTTTCATGGCAAAGAGGGATTTTCCTCCTCTTGCAAGCCTTACGGAGATGGTATGAATTTTTCCAATGGGTTGTTGGTCTTCCTAGTTACGAGGTGGTGTCGACGCCTATCCCCTACCACCAACATACTGGCATAAGTGTCCCCGTTGGGTGAGCTCCTCAATTTATCTTTTGAGGCCATAACAGTCGTCGATGTCATGGCCATGATCGCGATGGAAGAGACAATATTTGTTTGGGTTCTTACGGTTTGGGGGAGACTTCATTCTCCCAAGCTACTTTATGGTAGGGTCATCCTAGATTTGTAATAGGATATGCCCGATAGTGGCATTGAGGGGAGTAAAGGCTTGTCACTCTCTCTGGGGAGTAGGACCAAGCTAGTCTTTGGCAGGTACCCTCTCTGTCCTGCTTCACTTGTTATTACTCTCCTTCTTGTCCTCTTTGTCTCTTTCTTTTCTTTTCTCCCCAATTCTGGAGGATTCACCCCGTCTAGCCCTTATTATGTCCTCATCATTCATGTATTTATGGGCCTTCGCTAGTAGCTCTGGCATGTTCTTCGGTGGGCGCTTCATCACTGAGAATATGAAGTTTAATGACCGGAGGCCTCATAGGAAGGCGGTCATGCTGACATTATCATTAAGCTCCTCAACTTGAAGCACCTCCTTGTTAAAACGAGTGAGGTAGCTCCTCAGACTCTCGTCTCGATCTTGTTTTATACTGAGCAGGTGGGTGGCAGGCTTCTAGTGGCGCGTATCCTCCAATGAAGTGTGACACGAATGACCTGTTCAGCTCAGCAAACGAGCCAATAGAGGCTGAGGAGAGCTTGGCGAACCATTGCTGAGCGGATCCCTTCAAAGTGGTTGGGAACGCTCTGCACATGATTTCATTGGGGATGTTATGCAGCTACATCAAGGTCTTATAAGTTTCGAGGTGGTCTAGTGCATCCATCAAAGGTTTCGACATATAACATCTTGAATTTCTGAGGAAGTGGGTAGTTATTCACGTCAGGTTTGAAAGGCGTGTTGATTCGCCCTATAGGGTAGTCCAATGTCTCGGGTTCATGTGCCTTCATGGCGTTGAAGACATCACTTAGTTGATTTTGTATCTCCTTAATTTTTTTCTCCCAGTGATTGGGAGGTCCCCTGAAATTATCATGGAAATGACTCACATGCTCCATGCTTTAGTTTTCACCATCATCCTCCTACAGATAAGGGTCTCCACCACGGACACGAGCTATATGAAGAGGTGGAAGTCCCTCATGGTGGGCCCTCCTGTGTGGGGTCCCCAAGAAAACTCCCAAAGGTGAGGCGCCCAAGGGGCCGCCCAGATGGGGAGCTCCTTGGTGTCCAGGTTGTGGAACTCCTCTGACTTGTGGTCCAGGCTGCGCTCCTCCTTGTTGTCCGAGCATCAGTTGCAGAATTTGTTGGTTCTGGGCTATGCTGCTACATTGTGTCCAACATCTACGGTGCATTTGGGACGGGATTCACAAATGGAGGAGCAACCTCCTCCTCTCATGCTGGATTGTCTTCAGGCTGATTCATGGATCTGGTGGTGATCGCCTTTGATTCAGCAAAGAAAGTGTTTAGGTGAGAATTTTGTCTTTCCCATAGATTGTGTCAAACTGATGATGCACAAATTGGTTTGTACACCACTTGTCAAGTAAGCAGTACAAAATACAGTAAATAAGTTGAGGGAAAGAGAAGATAAGGTTTATAGTGGTTCGGTCACTATGACCTACATCCATTTTGAATAGCAAGGGTCGCTGATATTTTATTAACTCAAGTGTATAGGGAGAGCAGATAGTTACAAGCTTTGAGAGTGAGAGGAGAGAATTATACTCGAATGAGTGTGTTGCTCCTCAAGTGTTGGTAGGACTTACAATTTATAGTCGCCTCATTACACATAATATTTGAATAGCTAATCTGACGGTCATAACGGATTGTGATGATTTAATAATAATCAAATAGCTGATCTGACGGAGGTGGCGCCTTCTTCTCAATGGGTGAGGCGGTTACAATACTCTCCATAGGCGGTTACAAGTCTCTCCATAGGACTCGGTTAAAGGATGAGGTGATGGTTGACTCTCTCCAAGGCGGCAAAGATGAGGCCTTGGATGACCTTGTGTGCTCCCTGCTAATGTTGCTCCTTGAGCTTGATGATCTTGACTGGGTTGACCTCATTGGACTGGACTTGATAGATCTCTCGGAGTTGGGTTATTTGATTAAGACTGCAAGCTTAGGGTCTCCTCGCTGACTCCCTTCATGACCTCAATTGTCCAGCTCAAACTTAAAATTTCTTCAGGGTATCATCATATTAAAATTGAACTTAATAGAGTAAACAACTTATCCATATGCTTCCTATCACATAAGTCTAAAAAAATATACAAACATTCAAAAAAGCCTACTAATTTAATAGCTGTAGTAAATTAAATGAAACACAAAGACCAATTGGGTGGCCCTGTTTGTTCTGTGACGTTAGAGGGGTGTCCATTCTTTACATTGCCGTCACCTTTTGGTCGGGTGGGAGCCTATCTATATCAACTAATGCAAAATTACCAAAAATGAAATCACAAAAACTATTCAACATTACCTCTTAAATTTAAATTGTATTTTTCTATTCACTTTGCTTATTTCTCTCTTGTCAAAATCAAATACTTATTTAAGTATTTATAGAATTCTAGGATACACCCATATCACATATACATGCATATTACCAATACATATACTATCCAAATACATGAATCTAAAATACTCCAAAACATTGAATAAAGTTTAATTCTCAACAAGACGGGAGCACTCACTTCCTTTTGCAACAATATCTGAGTTCGTCATTAATGCGTTGTGCAATAAACTGGGAAGCTTCTTAATGGTGACGGTATCGAGCCCTAACAATTCAGTGGGAAGAGTTGGAACTGTATTAACAACTGTTGTGGTTGTGGAACTCAAGGTCGTGGTTATGGTGATTGATGAATGTTCAAACAGACGGATGAGAAGGAAGAAAAACAAGCTGAGGAGGAGGACGATTGCGAAGACGAAAATGAGTATTATGAGGATGGGCGGAGCTGCATTGGTACCAGGTTGGGCACTTGAACTCCGTCATTTTTAACTCACCTTAGATGAAGACTCATACAATTATTTTATACATTATATTTACCTCCTAAATTTTTGAAAATTTCAATAATGGTTCTACTCTTTTCTTTTTTCAATAAATTAGTGGTCCACTAATTCTCTAAAATAAGTATGTTTGTTTTGAATTCAATTAATCAGGTGTAACTATTCAAATCTATTTGTAAATTGACGAAAATACAATATTTATCTTTATCTAATACAATGTTCGTTACTTTTTAAGAACAATTTTTAATTTTCATCTACCATGTTTTTAGTAATACTAATCTATAATCTAATTAAATACGATTGTGCATAAAAGGCAAAAGGTTGTAACCCAAATATATTTCAAGCTATTTCGAATAGACAATTTCTCTATATGATCAATAATGATCTCAACTAAATTTTGCAACTAAATAAAGAATAATTTTGCTACGGACTTGTGATTGTGCGCATTGATAGAAAATTACTGAAAAATTAATTTATATTTAATTCATATACAAAATTCTATAAATTTTTAAAAATATTATATTTTATTGAAATATATAATTATGTTAAAATATACTAAAAACATTATTTTGTGTCTTTTTGTTAGTATTTTTTCGGCTAAATAAAAATTGAATTTAATATTTCACAATAATTTTGTCTTAATTCTTACTTTTTTTTGTCATTGAACTAAATTTTTTTATATTAATTTTGACTAAAATTTTTTTATATCAATTATATTTTACCCACCTCATGTAAAGTCCTGGCTCTGTCTGGAGGAGGTCATGATCATGGAATATTTGAGATATGAAGGAGAAGTTTGGGGAGTACAAGTGTGGGGGTTGGAAATCTTCAGAGGCCATGGCAGAGCTATTGGGTAGCGGTGGAAGTAGTGGTTGTGAAGTGTTAAATGAGAACTGAGATTGAGGTGACGGAGAATGTATGGGCCACCAATACTGGTAGTAGTGGCTTCACGAGTTGTCGGGTAGAGAGTTCTCTCTATAAATTGTTGTGAACATTGGTTGGCTTTTATGTATTAACAATGCCAACGGCCAACTCCACCTCCCTCCCTCCCTCTCTCTCTCTCTCTCTGTGAATTGAAGGAATTTGGTGATTCCAGAATTTAGCGCAAAGACAACTCTGCAATACAATCACGTGGATTCTGATAGGTTTGGGTCTTCTTAATCCCAAATTTTATTAGTTTTAACCAAATAACAATCATGTACCTTTGAACCTAGTGATCAATTGTAAATGGGAAAGGCCTAGACATAAAAATAACTTAATCTGTTATTACTTTGAGATGATGTGATTTTTTTAGGTGTTATTGATAAGATGATATGATTTCATTATAATCATTGAATTAAATCAAAATTTTAATATTTGATGAAATTTATAATCAATTTAAGAGTTATATTGAATTAGGTTAAATTATGAGAGCATATTTTTTCGTTTTTGAGAAGAAAGTACTACTCACATACTCGAGTCTTGTTGCATTGACAACTACCCATTTACATGCAAAATCTTTTAAACCATAAGTTTTTACTTCTTTTGGAAGAGACGTGCACATTTCTTGCTTCACATAATTTTATAATTTGTCATTTAAATTTGATCTATCTCATGGGAGAATAAAATCAATTTTAACTCAGAAAAGGTACAAATAGAATGAATTCGGGATATTTTTCTTGAGACAATAACGTAAATCACATTTTTATTTGTTTCTATGAGTATATGATTATGATTAAGGGACAAGGCAAAAACCTTTTACATACATAAAGAGGAAATAAATAAAAAATTAAAAAAGTTTATTTGTTAAGTTCTAACACCTTAATATCCACCCATCAATAATCTTCGTGCAAAAATAAGAAGACAATGTTAAATTCCATCTAGTTACGGAGTGCTCAATTTTGCATCAATTATTCTTTCAAACTTAGCGGTGGGCCGCGGTGGAAGAGTTAGAGTCTAGAGATGATCTACATAGAGGACAACTTGACCGAGCACTGAGCCACTTATCAACACATTCCGAGTGATACGCATGGAGACATTCCGGCAAGACCTTAACCATCTCATCATCTTGAAACAAACCCAGACATATCGAGCACTCGTTCTCTCTGAAAACATTGCTGTTATCTTCAGAACTGGAGGATTTCCGGTGCAAGAACATTGGAAAGCTTTGAATGGTAGATGCGTCGAGCCCTAGCGATGATGGAGCTGGTACTGCAATGGCGTGATGCGATGCAGAACTCTGGTTTGCCGAGTTAGAAGAAGAAAACTGACGGTAACGACAGCCGAAAGTGAAGAGAAGGTAGGTGATGAGTAGAATGATGGAGAAGAAGAAGACGAATATGATGAGAAGGCCTTGGCCATGGAATTCGGTGCTGTGACTGAGATCAGTGAAGTACCAGTGGGAATGTTGGTAGTCTTGAGAGGCCATGAACGAGTTGCAGTGAAGCACGAGAGAGAAAAGAGGTGGGGGGGGAGTGGTATTGGGGGTTTGGAACTGAGATTGAAATGATATGATATTATGTGTCTCTTAAAAAGTAGTTGGTCACAAATACCTCTACCTTCTTCAGTTATTCTTTTTTTTTTTTTTTTTTTTGATTGAGGCTTCTTCAGTTATTCATTGAACTTCTTTTTTCAGATTTTTTTTTCTAAGTATGGATATACCTATGCAGAATAAACTGAGATATCTATCATCATTTGCTAAATATATTTTGAACCTAGGAGTTATTAACCAATGAAAAACATAACAATTTGTTCCAAGCTGACTCATATCAGTGAGCCACAAGGCAGATTAGTTTTCGAGTAATGTTACACTGACCAAATTTTGGGATCAAATTTAAAGTCTAAATGACATAATAGTTGATTATTTAAAATTTTTATTGGGACCCAAATGACATAACACCAATCAAAGTAATTCAAATCAACTGTCATGTCATTTGGACTTCCAATTTGGTCAGTTTAGCATTATTGTTAATTTTCATGTAAGTTGTATTTTTTGGGAAAGTCTACCTCATAATAGTAAGGTTATCCCTTTGAAAGGTAAAATTATAACTAATTGAAGAAAGTCCATCATTGATCCTTGGCATCCATGATCAATCATGAAATTCTCTTAAACAGTTGTAACTTATCTTTTACAAATTGTACTTTAACCATTGAAAGTTATAACTACCATGATCAATCACAATATTGTGGGATCAATCACAACTTTACAAATTGTAATTAATACCTCAAAAAAATATAACTTGGCCTTAAAAAATTTTAATTTTTGGTAGTAGACTTTCCCCCTTGGTTTTTAGGGCATGATTTTCACGTAAGTTGCTTGTGAGAATTTTGTTACCATTTCAGCAAATAAAGCCAACTGCAAGCTCACTATCAGTCTTATGTATCTCTTATTTCTCTGAATTGGAGGAATTGGGTAGGTGGAGTTGTAGGTGTAGTTTTAGTGCAAACCCAAAACCATTATTGCACGAGAAAGAAAAAAGTGGAAAACATTTCCACTTTGGAACAAAACAATAGATGACTCGGCCAAATTTCATAATGATCAAATGGGAGGGCTCTACCATTTAACTATTGGCTTCTCAAAACATATTCTAAATTTTTTTATCTCAAATGCTCTTCCACCATACATATTATTGTGATTTGTGTGCTATGAACAATTAAATTTGGTGTACCTCTCAATATACATTTCTATATATTTGAATATGAGTCACTTATTCTAACATATATTTTATTGTGGAGCTCAAAAAATTAATTTTTTCATCTAATGTATGGTATAGAAACATTTGGAATGAAAAATTTAAAATATGTTTCGGTAAGCATAACATTTCTCTTATAGTATCTAGCTAATTGGTAGAGATATATAAATTAATAGCCCATTGGCCTCTGCAAATAGGGATATGATCATAAAGAAAAATTATGCATCGATAAGATTTTCAGTATAGTCAAATGTCCCCAACTTTCTCATAGATCTCACTTTGAATTGGGTGCGTGTCTGATTACGTTTTCAATGAGCAAATTCGAATCGAGTAATCTTTCAATGAGCTGATTACGTTTTCTATGCTGACCAAATTTTGGGATTAAATTTAGAGTATAAATGACATGACAACATATTATTTGTAATCTTTATTGGGGCTCAAATGATATGACACCAAATAAAGAAGTCCATGTTAGCTGTCATGTCATTTGAGCTCTAAATTTAATCCCAAAATTTAGTCAGTGTAGTATTACTGATTCGAATTTAATTCAAATTTCATCCAAAAAAACAAAGGGCAAAAACTTTTACTGCCAAGCTTGAACTTGGGTTAAGAAATTCTAGTCCCGTATACATAATTTCCCAATTTCTGGGAACCATCGGAAGGTGAATAGAAGATTGGATTTCATTGTTTGACTAACAACTGAAAAAGATACTTCTTACTTAACAAGAATGGCAAAAGGTTACATTTAATTGCACACACATACATACGAATTATTTGTTTAAAATTTTTCGAAATAATATGAATATATATGTGCAAACACTATACACTAGGCTCATTGCGAATTTTTTGGCTAGGTTTTGGATATGAAAATCAACTACCAAACATTCTTAACTAAAATTACAAGTATTCGTCATGAACAACTTTCATAATATAGGTTCAAAAATCCCCTTTAAAGGTTCAACAACTATTCTATTAAATAATTCTGTGAAATCAATTTTGAACTTCTGTTTTAATACATGGGCAGATCAGGATGACAGTGGAATAAAAAAAAAAAACAGATATTCGTCCAAACTCGTCTTGTTTGTATTGGAGATGAACCATACATATTGAACGGTAGACGTATACGAGAATATCTATATAAATTCCATATGGGGATGGACTGACACTTACCCCCGCCCCACTATACCCATTATTATTATTATTATATAATAAAATACAAGACAATTCAAATCTCAAAAATCAACAAAATGACTTATATTTTGCGGTTGAGATTGTTTTAAATTTTACTTTAAATTTAATCCGACAGCCAATATTAACTCCTTATATTTAATAGGAAAAATATACTCCCTAAGATTGTATTTAAGGTGACTTTTCAAAATTGTTTCTAAAATTTATAACTTTAAATAAGCACTTCCAAAAAAAAAGTGTCTGAAACCGTCCTACCACCACCATTACCACCCCCCTAACCGCCCCACCACTACCATCACCACCTCCACTATCACCACTACCGCCACCCCACCACCACTTTTGCCACAACAATCACCATCACCGCCTAACCACCTATACCACCACCACCTCCAAAAGATAAACAAAATGACTTTTACTTTTTGTGGTTGAAATTTCTTTAAATTTTATTTTAAAGTTAATCCAACAGCTAATATTAATACCCCAAATTTAATAGGAAAAATAGACATCTCAGAGTGTATTTGGAATATTTTTTAAAAGTGTTTCTAAAACTTATAATTTATCATAACTACTTTAAAAAAAAAATAGTGTTTGTAACCATCCCACTATAAAAAAATATAGTGTTTGTAACCATCCCACTACCATCACCATTACCACCAACACAACTACCCCCCCCCCTCACCACAACTACCACCCCCACCATCACCACTACCATCATCGTCGTCACCATCGCCGCCACCACCACCACCAATGCAGCTAGCCTACCCCCATTGCTACTACCACCACCCCACTGCCACTACCACCACTACTACTGTCACTGCCGCCCTACCACCACCTCTGCCACAACAACCATTATCACCATCACTACCCCACCATCACCATCATCACCACCGCTGTTACCCATGACTGTCATTACCACCACCGTCACTGTTGCCACACATGGCTTCCACCACCACCACGGTTATCGTCACCCACCACAACCATCATCGCCTTCCACCACCACCACTATCACTGTTCACCCCCATTACATACGGTGCTTAATTTCATTTATCTCTCATCTATATTTGTAATTTAATTTAGGTCTGAATACAAATATGTTTGGACAATAACTTGTATGCATGTATGTATGTATGTATGTATGTATATAATTAAATGTACTCCCAAGTCCAAAATGAAGCCCTAACTCAATTATTTTTCCTCTATTCCTCAGCCTACATTGAGCGTCCATTGATCACTAGCTGTCGGCTAACTAGGCCAGGTAAGGTATCTCTCTGTAACACCCTAAAATCCACCTTGGACGACATTATTATCTAAAAATCATTCACATCGTGAGAGCAACTAATATAATTCATAAGTAAAGAAAATTTCATTCATCATTCATAACATTTACAACCTAATCCAAAAGAATATGCCAAAGCCTGGCCATTGTATCCAAAAGAATATGATTAACTAAGGCAATTACATCCAAAAGAATCAAATTCGAACTTGTAGCAGAATAACAAAAGGTTAGACTTTATATCGTCTCAAAAGGAATTTCATAGTCTAGTACATAGGGGAGTACAGCCCTAAACATCCACTTCAGAATTCATGTGTCCATCTAGTGGAGCTTCCCATTGTACCTGCTCTTCGTTTTCGAGTTCTTCATCTAGGCCGAAATCTTAAAAATCTGATGTTGTAGGGGGTGAGCACTAAGCTCTATATCAACATCCTCCCAAACTTGAACAAGGTTTAGAAATCATATAAAATAGTTTGGTCTCTTTTTCTAAAATATCATATATAACTTGAAGTAAAACAGTGACAGTTTATTCGATCTCAAGTTAACGCAATGGCAATAAGTTAATTGAAAAGAATAAACATGTCAGGATTAAAGAAAAACAATGAATTATACAATAGCCTTAACCCATATTCTCATGTATGTTGGTTGCTTCCCATGCATCTACACAACGACTTTTACCTCGTTCACCCATCACAATCACACAATCCCAGACATTTTAGGTAGGGCGTATACCGTCTCCCACGACATTGACGAATCCTTCCCAGGAAAGGTATATCATCCCTCAGCCTCGAACTTACGTGAACAATAGTGGTTACTCTCACAAACAACAATCCACTACAAGTGTTAGGCAACCATCTCACCCCCCCACTAGGATAGACTAACCTCTAACACTCTACGGCAATACTCGAATGCAATTCAATTCCATCACAACAATTATACAAGAGATTCAGAAATAACTAATTTTGCCAATTACACTTACATCAGAAACCCCTAAATCTCCATAGGTATCTTCTCTAATAGAACAATTTAAGAAAATATACAAGAGATCATCACAATACTATTTTGTTGTTCAAAAAAAAGCACTAGAGTTTGAAAACCAAGCACAAAGGAATATTAAGAAGAAAAATCTATTTTTCTCAAAAACTAGGGTTTTCAAGTTAAGAGGAGAAATTTCATGGCTATATAACCATAGCTTTGTTTAAAACATGGTAATAAGTGCAAAGGCGTCCAGAGATAGGGATGTCATAGCATATACTTAGGATCGAGAATAAAAAC